TTATGCTGGAATCAAAGAAATATACTGTATCTGACGCTGAATGCAGGAAATCTGACAAAATTTAAGAAAAAAAAAAAAAGAAGAAGCTATTTAGGTCCTTCCTGTTTATCTTTTCTGTCGGCGCGTCGACGGTTTCTACACGTATAATCACACGACACAGTCAACATAATGAAGTAAATCAAATGTGCTAATATCATATAGAGCCGTAAACGATGCATTAATACAAGGCTCTGCGCGCCGCCGCAAAATAACAGTGATTTGTGTTAATTTTCAATCCCAGTTACAGTGCACGTTCCTCATCCCATTGCTTACTTCATTAAGCTCTACGGGTCGCCCAGACTGCACTCATCATCACCAGGCTGCAATCATACTATAGACTTTAAGCTGCGGAGTTCTGAACTAGAATCTGACCAGAAACCTGCTTTGTGCCACCGTGTGGAGACTGTTCTTATTTTCTGGGGTGTATTTTTCAGTTTGCTAGTCGTGCTGAAACTCAGTTTCTCTTCTGATTCAGTTGTAGCTAGACTACGCCAAATTGTGAACCAATACGATCTTGTTTAACCCCACTTCCTGTGTTTCAAATGGCAAACTGCTCCCCTATCTGCCTGACTGTCCGATCCCCTGCACTGGGAGGAGGAAATTATTTATATGGCGAGCGTCAGCTGATCATTGATTTGGTAATTACATGTTTCCCCTTGAGGCTGAGACAACTGATATACAGGGCCGACGCCGAAGGGGAGGGTCTCCGGGTTTCTTATCCATGACTTATGGTTCATTCGACTCTCCCAGATAGCCTTCTTTTCTCTGCCAACGGCTTTTCAACACAGCAAACACTCAAACACAAGTATCGTCTTTCTCCCAGGAGAATAGCGCACACAGAGAAGATCAGAATGCGGTGGCAGACAGTCGAAGCGTTTTCATTGCTGACAACACGGGGTAATAAAACACTCACTGCTGCGTGTTGTAACAAACCATTTCTGTGCTCCGAGGCAGTCGCGCTCTTTTGAAACACGATGGCATGTTTTGGTTGCATCAACAAATTTAGCAGATTGAACCTTTCAGACACTGATATGTAAAAGTGACGATGACTTGTTTTTTTTTCTTCTTTTTTTTGCTGCAGTGTTCACTAGCTTTAACACACACACACTGTGCTTCATATCTCCATGGCAATGTGGGTAGCCATTTGAAAATTAACGTGTCGTGAATTTTTAAGATCAGCTTTATTACTGTCCAATCCAATTCCAAAGTGACAGGGCTTGATTTGTTTGTGACTGCGTTTATTTGTCAATTTGGTGTACCACTCAGTGATTTGGGCTTTTCTACAGTTTGCAATAATCGCTGGAATGAACTCGTCTGTTTACGGCGGCGATAAAAACATAAATTAAGCCGACGACTTCCTCCCTACCTTCGCATCTCGATCACGGTCACTTGCAGCTAAACGGCTCTCAGTTTAATAAAAGCACTTTGTCTTGGAGTGTGAACAATAAAAACCAGATTCAGATTATTAGTTATTGCATTGAAATGCCGGCGTGAGAGAAAAGCAGCAGGAGCACAGAGCACGGCAGACCAAGAGGCAAAAATCATATCAATGCTTTTCTTCGGTCGGCGTCGGGACAGATAGCAGCGACCCGCCTCTTAGCTCCACGACTGTGGTTTACACTGAACACGATATTCTGGCAGCGCCGGCTGTCAGGTGCTGAAAGCTTTGTTTATGCCACACATCAACCCAGAAACATCCCTTTGTTGAGATTTACGAGGATCATTAGCTTTGTTTTTAATACAGTAGAAAAACGATGTAGCCTAATCTAGCCATCCGATCTGGGCCTTAGGTGTCTCCATGCCTCCGCCCACTCACCCACATCAATAAGATCACAGCATACCTGCATAGGAAGGCTGTACACCTGAGATGACAGGCCTGATAGGACACAGACATACTGAATCTAGCGGTATTAAATCAGCGATGACGATTCACTTTCTTCTAAGAGCCACGAGGAAACTCAAACAAGAAAAAAGGGAAAGAGTTCAGGGCATTTTTCCAGCTATACAGCACCAGCCCCAGAGAGGAGACAATGAGACCCAGACGGGCTTAGTAGTCCAGAAACCATTCCCCTCTCAATGGGAACACGTCTTGGACACACACTCCAGTAGTTTTGTCTTGTATGTTGCTATCTGTGCTAGCTGCAGAGTGGCGGGGGTCTGTGCCAGGCAAGGGTCCATAGGGACCATTGGAATCGCTGGGGCTGGAGGAAGTTGGTCCGAGTCCAGTGGGGCGATCTGGGCTTGGTGACAAGCCAAGCTGTCTACTGCAGGGACGCTGGGAAAATGTAAATAAGAGCCTGATAAGGGCTATTGTTTTCATTCCATTCTCATCCCAGCTGAATGGCCTGCTCCCCAGCCACAGAGCATTTTATCTCGAGAGGGGGAGGAGAGAAAAAAATGGAAGGGGTGGGGGTGCGAGAGATTTAAGAGCCCCCATAGGAAAATAAAAATAAACTGGCTGGACTCTTCTCTTGTTTAAGCTAATTCCCCAGCATGTGATGTCCTACTTTGAAAGGACAAGAGCAAGAAAACTCTTCTTCACACAAAAACCTCACACAGAAGTTCGCCGCCGTCAGAAGCGATTATATTTGCTTTTACCAGCAAATCCACTCGCATTTTAAACCCAGTGAAAATCCGGAGTCAAGTGCGAATCGTTTATCAGGAATAATCGGTTATTTTACGGTGAATGAAGCGTCTGTCAATCCTCTGCTAGAATGTGTCAGTAATTAGCATGTTGACATTAAGCAGTGTTTCCATTGGCATCTATAATTTCTCCTGAGAAAGCAGACAGGCATTTTCTAAACTCGAATAGCATTCCTCCTATTAATCTAAATTCTTCAGGAAAATCGGCTGTGGAAGGGCGCTTTGAAAAAAGCCAGACATCAGACTCGTTTACTGTTTTCCTCGAGCACGCCTGCGCAAAAGTTGCTCCGCGTTCACCAAATCCATTTTTGGTTGCCTGTTTTGTCCACAGCGTTCGAACACTGAAAGGTGTTTGAGAGTTATTTTATAGACTAATCCAGGTCATTATTCACCTCTCCCAGGTGGAAGGCAGGGAGGACAGCAGCGCATTCCAGCTGTAGTCTCTCCTGTTGGAGGACTTGGCAGGTCGTGTCTGGCCCAGCGGAGGGGATGGAGAAGTGAGGGAGCGGCGGCTCTCCTGGGAGGGAGGTGGAAGGGAGGGGAGGACTGGAGTAGAATGGAAGCTGGCACCACATTATCTCCAACTGTTGGTGCATTCCTTAATGATCAAGTGCTGGAGGAGCATCTGTGATGAAAGTGTGTGTGTGTGTGTTTACATATGGGTGTGTGTGTGTGTTTACATATGGGTGTGTGTGTGCGAGGCAGAGGGAGCATATGTGTGCATATTAACATATGTTCGACGTGTTTGTTTAATTCCTCTTTACAGCACTTTAAAAATATGCCTTTTCTGTGCTTTAGGGGAGAACACGTCAGGCCTCTGTCTGTCTGAGGGTTTTATGATTTGAGGGGAGTTTGTTGTTCTGGGAGAGGAAGCTGGCTCACCCAGGGGTGAGAGGCAGGGAAGAAGAGCCGAGCGCCGCTACTCCCTTTGCCCTTAACCACTGTTTTAAGATCTGTGATCTTTGTGCCACGCAGGGAGTTAACGCACACAAACACACACAGAACACACAGCCTTTTCTCTCTCCCTCGCTCAGGGTCAAGGGGACAAACTGTGAGTTGGGAATTGGAAAGTCAATAAAGCAGAAGTAATGTTATAATGACCCTGAGCTGGAGATGTCCTGTCGACCCCCATCACGTTGGTGGAGGAAGTGGACAATCAAACAAAATGGTGACTCTGCTTGATCTCTCTGAAAGCCGTCCTTAAACAAGGCCACGAGAACTACTGACCCCCTGTTACTCCCAGTTCCTCTGAAGTCGGCCTGTTTGTCAGAGGGAGCGACGGTGTTTGGTTTTGGGGAAGCGAGCAGGAGATGTTACAGACGGATAAAAGGAAACAACACTTGTATACATCCTCAGCTGTGTAATTCGCCTCCGTGTTTGATGTCAAGGATGATAATGGACGCGCTGGAGGAGTCCAGAACATCGCATGTGACAGGCCCTTCCCAGCCTGTTAAACATTACGTGCAACTTGGACTCCAGTCATATTACACTGAGTTGAGACAAACCTTCTCCGTGGCAGAACGATTCTCCCAAATGATCCGCTGTGAGATATATAGAAAGACTGTTGATTACCGTGTGGCTTTGGGGTAATAAGTCCTGTTTGATTTGGTTCTGAATTTTGCTCCAAATCTAAGGAAATAAATCTTAGGAATAATATTTTTCAGGAGACGGTTCGTATAGAAATCAGCACATTACAGCTTCTTAAATAATAGTAAGTGGGACTGAACATGCTTCAGATTAGAGGCGGTTTGTAAAGGAGTAGCTCAAGGTGGAGAGCTGGAGGCTTCCTTGTGCTGCTGGTGTTTGATGGGAACAGGCTGAACCCTAAGCGGCGCAGAGACGGCGGAGGCCCGGGTCAGCCGGCCCAGTATGTTCTTTATCAGCTACACCAGCGACAGCGTGGCAGATTGCAGCCATTCCTCCTCTGATTCATTGTCTGCTGGACAAATGTTAATTGTTTTCATCATTGGCAGCTGTGTGAACGTTTGGACGTACCCAGTCTCACTCCTTGCCTCCCACTTAATGTGTGTCTCTGCCCTTACGCTATCCCCACAATGCCTGCTTCCCTCCTCGCTGCACCCTGAGCTCATCGCTCAGCTGTCAGCCTGAGTCTCTTTTAATGTTCGCCGTGCAGTGCCATCAAATAAAATACCTCTCTTTCATCTGATACACTGACTTTTCATTTAACTGAATGGATTTATGGCATCTGCAAAATTATAAAGAGAGAAACTACATCCAATTCAAAATATTACCTCACATAAAAATATGATTACGTCAAATATTACTAATTGCCTGAAATTTCCTTTTTTATTTTTCAGACTCTTCGTGCATGGAGAAACTTCTGTCTAAAGACTGGAAGGAGAAGATGGAGAGGCTCAACACCAGCGAGCTGCTCGCAGAAGTGAAAGGTACGAGTGCATCGGGGCTGATTTCAGCTGATTTACCGACACCAGCAACACTTTGAGTCTTGTTAGAAAGTTCCTCATTCCTGTCAGACCTGCATAATTTATGTCCTGCATGAAATCAGAAAAAAAAGCCTTGTACTGTGAAATAAGACAAAGGCCTTTGGCTGCCCTCCTGCTTCATTTCTCTCCTCCCTTATCTTTTGTTGGAATGCCCAACTCTATCCAAAGTGCTTTTCTTCAGAATTCCAGCCCATTTAGACCCATTCGGAGGCTCTCTGTGCTTGTCAGCGGTTTATTGTTGTTGTCCCTTCAGACGGCCCTGAGCCGTGCTACTCTGCTCCGGCACATGCGGCGCGTTCATGCTGCTCTGGTAATTGTTGAACCCAAAGTGTGCTTGATGTAAACAGAGCACGGCTGAGCTGAAAGGAGAGAAGCGGCTCGGAGAGGAGAGGAGACGGCGTGGAGACGCGCAGAGTCGTCTCCTCGGCGAGCTCGCGTTTGAGTGGAATGTCTCGGCTCTGACAGCGAACGCCCTGCGCGGCGTATCAAGTGCACCGCGGCACAGCTCAGCTCAGCACTCCCCCAAAATCTCTGTTTATGACAGGGCCAAGGTGGGCTGAGGATGGGCAGGGCTGCTGCTAGTCCTTAGCACTGACTGTTACAGAAAGCCGGTGTGTTTATACAGCTCAGGGAAGCACAATACCAGCTGGCTGATAACACCAGGCTGCCACTGGCTCCGGCGCTCCAACCCCTTTCATCAGAGAACTTCTTGTGTCTTGTTTTTTTTTTTTAATTCTTGGAAACCATTTAGGGAAAAGGATTTCAGTGTATTCTCAGTATAACATTTGAGCATTTTTAATTAACATTTCATGGAGATAATTCACGAAGCCAAAAGAGGTTCACGGTTCATTGCTGTGCAGGTGATTTTGATAATTTGCTGAATAGTTTTCTTTTCATAAAACACGGCTGACATACATAAGTAAAACCAGTGTTTAGCTTTAATTACTGAATTACAATTCCTCCACTTACAGCGGAAAGGGGAAAAGGCAGTTGAATGTTCTAATAAGTATATTCATTGGCAATAACCTTAATGAACTGAAGGATAAATCACTGCTTGGTAAACTAGATTCATTGTACCTGTCCTAGTGCACTGTATGCCAGCATAGATCAAAGTGCACGGGGGTAAAATGTTTAAAATGATTTAGCCTTTTGAAAGCTGGTCTGTTAAATTACAGGCAGGGCATTTCTTCTGTTTGATGAATGGGAACGGGAAGGTTACTTGGTGGTCTGTAAACAGGTAGGGAGCCTGATAATAAACACTATGGCCTCTGTCTGTTGATGAGTTATGGAGACAGTCTATACACCACAGATACAAATATAAATGCTTCTCCTATCACAGAGGCAGCCTTAGATTTTTAATTAGCATGCCATTTCATATGACTGTAGACATTTCAAAGGGCTGCTTTGTGCTCACCCTTACAAATGTCTCTCTCTCCGCGTTTGATGTCTGCCTGATGTAAATACAGGCAATTAAAAAGAAGCCCAGGGTTGGAGATGCACAAGGTCCGCCTAATTAAAACACAAACAAAGGTACCAAGCAGAAAACACCTTATGATTAAGATCTTAAGTGTTATGATGAATCAGAGGTTCCATTAATTGTTAGGTTAAAATCTGTACAAAAGGCAAACATGCCTGTAGGTTTTAAATAAATGAAAGATAGTAGAGAATAAAGGCTGACATGCAGATAAAGGCTACAGTACCTACTGGCAGAGTGGCCTTGTATATTCTATGCTGATCGCTCACTGATTCCTCCGCCAATTATACTGAGCACCTTGTAGGCTTCCTTTTGACATTGTTCCATCAGAACCTTGAAAGACGAGTAATTGTGTTATTGCGGAGGCAAGTGGTGGAATCTGCCTGGTAAGGAAGTTATTTTTTTTTTCTCGTTCTTAGAAAACAAATAAAAATGAAAAACAATAGGGGTGACGGAGTTTGACCCGAGGCTTTACCCGTGAAAAGAAAGACATTCTTCCACTGCAGTTGTGTTCAAACATGCCCTGAATGCTTTGCCCCGCCGAGGTGAACACGCACGCACAGTAAACAAACAAAACACAACGAAAAATTGTATCAACAACATCAGAGGTTCGCTCTTCAAGGTCTGCGAACCCAACCGAGCGTTTACCTCTTACACATGACACGTCTGTAATTACAGCTTATTGTCATGTGGGTGTTTGGCTGCATAATGGGCTGTTTTCGAGGTAAAGACACTTTTTTTTCTTTTTTTTTTTAGAGCCAGTAGAAACAGGCACAGTAATCCAGTGGAAGCAATGTGCTTAAGTCAGACATGTAGAATGGTGTTATTAAGGGTTAATGATTTCAAATCTCCATCTGCCTTTGCTTGTACGCCGCTAGGGCTTAGCATCAGCACGGGCAGGCAAAAAGGAGAGCCGGTGAAGGGGCATTAGTGGCGGATTTCTTTTCACCAGTCAATTCCAGAGCTAACTGTTTGTTTTCATACCTGAGCTTAGCTGTCAATCTGCAGGAACGATGAAATCTCCCGAACAAAACCGCAGAGCAAGAAAAGGAGGCCGGCTGGAAGGGCTCCAAACCACACAAAGTGGCAGATAATAGGAGGCAAGGTGGAAGGAGTGCAGGAGAAAGAGCTAGACGGAGGAGGAGAGAGGGATTTCACATGTGTGTAATCTAGAGACAGCGTTTGTAATTATGCATCTGAAAGAGAGTTTTCATTCATCTGTATACATGCATATCCATATATATATGTGTGTGTTGTGTCAGTGTGTGAAATATATACTAATGTCGTACACAGTGTCCTGCAGCAGATAAGCATCCTCTCTGCTGCATGCTTGCTCTGTGCAGGGTTCTGAGCTTCATACTCAACAGAGCTGTTTAAGTTTCCCTGCTGAGTGGCAGTTTACTGGCCCCCCGTTGGGGGCAAGAAGAAAAAAAAAAGAGAGAGAGAGAGAGAGAAAACACACAAACTGCTCAAGCATTTACTCAAACGGGAGGAAAATATGTAGTTACTAAATTGGAACACAAGCTGTATTCATTCTCTTGGAATCTGGTAAAAAAAAAAAGAAAGAAAGAAAGACAGAGAAAAGCTTAACAGTGGCGTTGAAACGGCAGCTCGAGTCCTGAAGCAGAAAAATCAGGGCTCTTGCACTGTCACAATCAATTTGAGGATGGTGTCTACATGACAGTGGTCGGGAGCGCGCAGACAGTCCTGTGGCAGGCAGATAAGTGGAAGCTCTTTAGGAGGAGAACAGAGGGCAGGGCAGGGAGGCAGCTGAGACTGATTCGATGCTGGCCCTACCTGTGCTGGCTGCTCTCCTGCACGGACAGAAAGGAGTCCAGTGTGCGAGCACAGAGCCCATATTGTTCGGCCGCACGGCTTCGCTTCAAAACATGTTTATTCACTTTAAAATTTAACTTCATTCTTAATGGCTGCCATAAAGCCAAGTTTTGATGCTGCTGGAGATACACAACAAAATATCTGTGCAGCAAAAAAAACGGGCTCATTCAGCTCCAGAAACAAGCAGGGAGGGAATTATGCGCTGCACAGTTCAGATGGTTTGTGTGCTTCTACAACCTACTGTATGTGATGTTTATTATATCTGCCCAACGTACAAAAACAGTCACACAAATAGCACAAAACACTATCTGTCCAGTTGCTCCAGTCAAAAATGCCTCAGTTAGCATTTTCTCCACAACACTTCAGTCAACTGTTTGCCCTGTGCACTCAGGTGAAATATGAGCCACAGTAAATCATTATTCCTCAGGCCACATTTGCCAGATGAATGCATGTGAGTGTTGGACTGTGTGTTTTTCTCCTCTAATGAATTGAGGAATTTAGCTTGTGGCAATGGAGGTAAAAAAGGGAAGTGCTGTGCTCGTGTGTGTGTGTGTGTGTGTGTGTGTGTGTGTGTGTGTGATAGGGACTCTGTGTTTCGAATTATATTCCAGCAGTTTGCTCAACTGAAGACATTTTACAGTGCATATAATACATTAAGTGTATTAATCCTCTTTTCATTGGAGGAGAATGTAAAACATTTACGGAGCTAACAAAAACACACAAACGTCATTTAGAAAAGGAACGCTCCCCAAAAATATTCCTCAGCAAAACAAATAGCATTTCCAGAACCACGAGCAGCTGAAGAGGCCGACCAGAACCAGAACCAGGGACGTAAACGATGCATGATTCAGACGTGAGCAGATAAAGCATTCTGAGCAGATGTGGACAAGATCTGGATTTCAGGGACCATCTCAAAAGTGCATGCAAAATGTCCAAGAGAGATTTTTTAAAATCTTTTTATATGCACTTCAGATCTGTTTGGTTTCTTATCTGAGTCGTCTCCAGCTGCACGAGCAGCTCCGTCCAAATTCTGATATTACGCAACGCCGCCTGTTTTTTCTCCCGAGCTTTCTTGTCACTTCACAACATTAATCTGGGTCTCCTCCACATTATACACGAGTTTCTGAAAGAGAAAAAAATGTGAATAAAGCCCGACTGATGCTGCACAGGTGTTATTTTTACCTAATGCGAGCGCGGCACCTCGCTTGATTCGACGGCAAATGGAAAACTGACGAGCTGGAGTTCAAAAATGGCCAAGAAAAGTTTTTGTTAACAGCTTTCTCATTCTCATAGACACTTCAAACCAGATTAATTTTCATCTGGCCTTCCTCCCACTGCATGCACAATCTTATTTTATTATGCAGTAAGGCCTGTGAGCTGTGATGGCCCACTTCAGACCTTCACACCATATGCACAACTTCCAGTTTGCAAAGAAGAATCATGCATTGTAACCTAAAGAAATCCCAACTTCCTTTATTTTCAATGCTAATAACATTCTGCTCCTTTTATTCATGTCCATGCATGCAATTATCACTTCCTTTAAGTGAGTTTCAGACCTATAATGTCGTTACTGGGACGTTGGGGGTCAAATCGTGCTTTATTATCATTCATTTTTCCATATTTTGACGGCTGG